CCGCAACGAACTTCTCTCCCCCTTGAAGGACAGTGACGAGGTCAGGTCTCTCGGGTCAAAATTGACCTGACCCTCCTGTCCAGGGTCCCAGAACACCTGCCCCAGGAGCCGGGGGTCTTGAGCGCTCCTGCGGCCAAGGACTCTGAGAGCGCCCCGCTGAGCCAGGTATCAGAGGCGCCCGCAGAAAAGGCTTTGCCAAAATCCAAGAGGAAACGCAAGGTAGGCCTGGGAACACCAGGGGCCAAGGGTGGGGCTGGAGGGACGGCGCTCCCTGAACTTTGGGCCAGGTGGTGGGCGCAGGGAGGCTGCTGGTGGGGGATGTACCTGGAGCAGGATGTACCTGGAACAGTCATAGAGTGTTTCATACACGCCAGAAACTCTTGTAAGTGCTTGACCTGTATTAAACTCAGTTAAATCCTTAGGACAGCCCAGTGAGGGAAGCACTGTTATTGGTCGCATGTTTTAGTTATCAACAGTTAAGGCCTTTCCCACTGCATGTGGAAGTGGGCAAACAGGAAATCTTCACTGAGTGTGTGCAGAGGGAGTTGAGTGGGGGTGGGGGTGGGGCTTTGAGAAAAGGTAAACATGCTCATCATCAGGGAAATGCAAATCAAAACCATAGTGAGATATCTCACAGCTGTCTAAATGGCTATCATCAAAAAGAACACAAATAACAAATGTTGATGAGGATGTGGAGAAAAGAGAACCATTGTATGTATATGTGTGTATATATATACACACACACGGAATATATACACACAATGGAATATACACACACACACAATGGAATATACACACACATACACACAAACACACACACAATGGAATACTACTCAGCCATAAAAAAGAATGAAATGTTGCCATTTGCAACAACATGGATGGACTTGGAGGGTATTATGTTAAGTGAAATGAGTCAGAAAGAGAAGGATAAATACTGTATGGTATCATTGCTTATATGTGAAATCTAAAAAATACAACAAACTAGTGACTATAACGTAAAAGAAGCAACTCCCAGATACAGAGAACAAACTAGTAGTTACCACTGGGGGTACAATCTAAGAGTGGCGGAGTGGGAGGTACAAACTATAGGGTGTAAGACAGGATCAAGGATGTATGTACAACACGGGAAATAGAGCTAATATTTTGTAATAACTGTAAATGGAAAGTAACCTTTAAAAATTGTATAAATTTTTTTAAAACAAGGTAAACACGAGTGAACCCCATTCTTTGCTGGAAGAGGTGGGGTGACATTGGTGATGGAGCCATTCATTGACTTAACAAGCCAACAGCCTTTCAGGGTTTAGTAAAGCTATGACTTAGGTGAGGCATGAAGTGCCTGGTGGGGACAGTGGGCAACAGAGTCCTGTGAGGGGCCACCAGTCTGCAGCATCAGAGCCAGCAGCTGGCGCAACCTATGGTGTTGATCAGAACTCTGTGGTGCAGGTAGGCTGGGGACAGGGCCCTGAGGAAGAGGGACAGTTGAATAATCAGAATATCAGGGATGAGATGGCACCCAAATAGGGAAGCAAGCCGAGCAAAGGAGGTGGGGAGTGAGGTGGGCGGTCAGTACGGGGAGATCTGGACGAGCATCTGGAAGCAAACCTAAGTGCTCCACAATTTTTGAAGATTTTTGAGCTCAAGGATAATTTAATCATAATGTAAGGCCAATTTTGAGGATTTTTATCCTCTCCTGTATCTTCAAAAGTAACCTGGATGGAAGTGAAAAGCACAGTGGGTGACAAACCAGACTGAAGTCATTGTGAGTGGTCCCAAATTTAGGACAAAATCATTAACAGTCAGTACATATATATATGTCCCCATGAGGGGTGCTATTTTTGTACATATTAAACCATGTTATGAGGCAAGTTTTGTCATGCCCATCTTACAGATGAGAAAACTGAGGCTTGAAGAGACTAAAGCAACTTGCCCTGAGTTCATGTGGGTGAGAAAGGGCAGAGCCAGGCTTTCTGGCTCCAGGGTCTCCCAGGAAGAAGTCAGCCTGAGATCCGTGTACTACTTGGCCCACCAGGATGCTGCTCAGAGGGCTCCGAGCATGGACTTTAATGTTTGGGGTTGCCATCTTGAAATTCTTCATTTTATCTCTGAATCTGTGTTTTGTAAGGATAGCGCAACGGGACAGTAGAGCATGCCCGGGGGCATGTGGAGCACTGGTTCACCTGCAATCCCACCTCCTGCCCATTTCCCACTAGTTCTGCCTCCCCTGCTGGCCCCTTCTCACTCCTGGCCGGCTGCCACCTCCCCCTCCACATCCTGGTCCAGGGGCCAAGGTGCAGACACAGTGAGGGTTGGGGTCAGGATGCGGATTGGCAGTCGAGGTACTGAGGGTCCCCGAGAGGAGAATGCATCCTCCGAGGGGGGTGCCAGTTTGCCTTCTGGTGGGGGGGGGAATGGCTGACTGCAGTTCCTCACCCCTGACGCATGGGTCCTACAACTGATGCGCCCCAGAAACCCTTCCTTGGCCAGTGGGCCACGCGCATGCGCTCACTCGCAGGCCAGAGCCCCCGGCACTTGAGAGAGTCCACACAACCCCCCAAGTGGCCCCATGCCGCAAGGAGCACAGTGCGAAACAGCAAATAAACTTCAGCGTGGCAGGTCAAGAGAGAGACTCAAAAGACAGGAAAATGTTTTCTGCTTTAGTTCTTTATAACATTACTCTTTAACTGCTTTATTTTTTGAGGTATAATTGACAATAACATTATGTTAATTTCCGGTGTACGACATAATGACAATATTGATATACACATATTGCAGAATGATCACCGTAGTAAGTCCAGTTAACATCCATCACTCTAGTTACACATTTCATTTTCTGTTGATGAGAATTTTCGAGATCCACTCTCCTAGCCACTTTCAAACGTGTACTGCACTATTATTAATTATAGTCACTGTGCTGTACATTACATTATATCTCCATGACTTTTTTCATTTTAAAACTGGAAATTTGTATCTTAGACCTCCTTCACCCATTTTGTACTCCTCCAACCCCACCCTAGGCAACCACCAGTGTGTTCTCTGTATATATAAACTGGGGGGTGGGTTTGGTTTTTGTTTTTTGATTCAGTGTTTAAGCCAGATCATCAGATACTCATCTTTGTCTGACTTATTTCACTGAACATAATACCTTTTGTGTCCATCCATGTTGTTGCAAATGGCAAGACTTCTTTTTTATGGCTAAACAATAGTCCATTGCATATATATATACGCCACCATTGCTTTAGGCATTTATCCATCCATGGACATTTAAGTTGTTTCCTCATCTTGGCTATTGTAAATAATGCTGCAGTGAACATAGGCTGTATATACCTTTTCAAATTAGTGCTTTTGCTTTCTCTGGATAACTACCCAGGAGTGGGATTGCTGGATCATTTGGTAGTTCTATTTTTAATTTTTTGAGGAACTTCCATCCTGTTTCCACAGTGGCTGCACCAGTTTATGTTCCTACCAACAGTGCACAAGGGTTCCCTTTTCTCCACATCCTCACACACTTACTGTGTCTAGTCTTTTTGGTAATAGCCATTCTGACAGGTGTGAGGTGATGTCTCCTTGTGGTTTTGATTTGCATCCCCCTGAAGATGAGTGATGCTGAGTATCTTTTCATGCATCCTTTGGCCATCTGTATGTCTTCTTTAGAAAAATGTCTA